GTGTGTGTGTGTGTGTGTGTGTGTGTGTTTAAAAAAGCAGGTCAGCTCCTCAGTTTCTACACGGTGAAAAATCAACAGTCAACAGATGTCTGGATTACAGACACACACTTGCATGCACACACTTTAAAAATTACAGGAGGTTCTCATTTGCATATTTGCCCTCATTGCTTGCACATAACTTTAACTTGTTCAGTTAAAGTTATGTGCAAAAGTCTTAATGAACCTGGAACAAGTGGTAAAAATAAGAATTTGTTCTATTTTTTTTTTCGTGGAAGCTTTATTGAAAGCAAAGCATACTCAAAGGTTGTAGAAAAATACCTCATGTTATCATTATTTAGATAACAGTCTATTTTTCTTCTGCACAATCTGATCCTAATTAACTGTAAGGCTTGTCTGAGCAGCAAACATTAGTAATAAACCTCTCTTTGTGTTTCTATAGAAGCTGAAGTGAGCTTATGTAATATGAAAAAGTAGGGCAGGACAAAGTTGAAAAATTAAAGTTCCTTTTTATATTCATGTCAGATCTGGAAATTCTTCCCTTTTGAGTGTTTAAAAGCTGTAAGACTCAGAGGTTTGCTGACCTCCAGTCATTAATAATTCACCGAGCAAAGAGAAATTGTGCTTTTTACCTCTATACCTGTCGTTTTCTCGCCTTTAACCTCCAACCACTGAGTGTGGCAGTAAATTATTTTGCATCATGCAACATTAAACGGCCATTACTGCAAGAAATCAACATGCATTCAAAGGCTTCTGTGTACAGCTGCATTTAATTCACAGCCACCACTGCAGGTCTTTACATCCACATGATGAGTCTAATCTGAGAGATGTTTGCTTGAACAAGCTTAACAGGATCGCACATGACAACTGATTAAACTAAATTACTCCATACTTTTGCATGGTTCAKAAATAGAAATGCACAAACTGAGTCACTAAGTGACGCTCCATCCTTTTCGGGGTCACACAAAGATTTATAAAGATGCAACGCAGTAACATGCAGTGACAGGTTTGGAAGCYGAGGCAGCAGTCTACACTGAAATAAATAGAGATGCAGTTGCAACAAAATATTGAGATTTTTTTCTAGCTAAAGTCAGACCTCTGCTCTGCTTCTGTCATTTAAACTTCAAAGCTCGAATTTAAACCTATTTTAAGCTCAATTCAATCTATATTCAAAGTTATGCAATTCTAAAAATACTTCACTGTGAAGATGATGGTTTAAATCACGTGTCAAACTCAAGGCCCATGTACCAAATGTGGCCTGCCACTGCATCTTTTCTGGCCCATARGAGCTTCAAAGATGCATTAATGTCTTAAAATAAGCGTATGCTGCTTTAACACCAGATTGACTATTAACAACATCTCCCATAATGCATGTGGATTATTTTACCTGCGAAATGATGACATAAGTTCAAACGTAGTCAGTTGCTGCAAAAATTCACAGTGTAAAATCTCCATTTCACTGCATTTTTGTAAGC